GAACTGTCACAGTCATGGGGCCGTTCTCATTTCATCAAATTCCCCTCCTCGACTCCCCTCCTCGACTCCTATCCTCGAGACTTAGTCCCGCCCACAGGAGATGCGAGCGGAGGAGCCGAGGAGGACCCATCAGTGTATCCTCGGTTATAGCTCCTCCAGAGAGCCTCCTCGACGCTCGATGCTCGGTCCTCGATGTGCATTTAGAGAAATGAGATGTCCTTCAACATTGGCGCGCTAAAATTCATTTCTGGGTCACTACCGGAGGACCGAGGAGTCGAGGAGTCGAGGAGGGGGATTTGATGAAATGAGAACGGCCCAAGGATGTATAATAATCACAGTCAGTCTGTTTCCTGTTTTACTTTGAAGTTGTTCACGCCCTGTCTCATGTCTGTATCTGCTTCCCGCCTCTGTGTTTTCCCTCCTGTGTGATTGTCTGATTGTGTTCACCTGCTGCCTGTGTTCCCCCTCCCCTCTCCAGCTGTGTCTTGTCTTGTGATTACCTCTGTGTATTTAGTCTTGCTTTCCCTTGACACAAGCATCGGACTTTTTCTGCTTGCATTACAGGAAAGTTTTAACTTTTTAACCGAATTTCTCACGTAGACATGGATCCAGAAATCCATTTAGAATGAGTTAATTATAAACAAAAAGGCGAGTATCCCGAGGGTGCCTCGAAAACTCGTAAAAATGTAATACGACGACGATCCATGAAGTATGACACCGAAGGTGAGAAATGTAAACCGTAGCCTACATAAACGATTGTTTTTTATATTGAATAATTGTTTTTTCAATATAAATACAAAGTTGAACTGCAGTTCAACTGTACTATGTTCACAGTTGTTTATTAATTTCCACATTATAAGATTACAATGCATATAAATGTGTTTAGTGCAATAAAGTTTTTTTTGAACGGAAATTAAAAATATATTCATATTCTCCAACTTGAATGAGCTGAATAGAGTCGCACTGTCTACACATCTGCATTTTCTTTTTAACACAAAAATACAATAACTAATCTGTGTTGATTTTAACAGGCGGATATTTGTTTTTGAAAACAGGCAAATCCCAGAAAGTTAAAGTGGTCGGTGGTTCCGAGGAAGCGGACAGACTCTTCATCGACTTTCATGCCAGCCCCACAGGGGCCAAAAACAATCCAGACATGCCATCTCCAAACGTTTTCTCTGACGCGGAATGTGCAGAGACAAAGATCAATGGGTGAGCTCTTCTCATATCCACAAAGTACTTCAGTCCACATACATCTGTTACACTTAATAATGCCTGATGGTGGCCTTTGGAGCATTAACAACTGTAAAATGACAATAAATATAAGAGGAATTTATGCTTATGTTGAACTTCTTTCCCCTTAAATTGTTATGTCAAGACAATAAATTCAGACACGACATCAAGGATACTTACTAACTATTTAAATTATATGATAACATTACTATTTTCCTGCATTAAGGTGGCTCAATGTGCTGAATGCCAGGCCAGTGCCGTTGTGATAAAACAGGCGGTGGAGTACACCCCAATCAAGGTATGTATATTTTGTTAAAAATAAGACCTACACATTATTAATTTGAAGTATGTAAGCTCGATAGGATGATTATAAAGGATCCTCTAACATATTAGTGACGAATTATCGTACCCTCGAGTTAACCTCTGCAAATAGAATACTTCATGCTCTTAACATTTGTGTCTCTGGTAGGTCACACCACCCTTCAAACTTGTCGGGATGGATTTGATTGGGAAGCTGGCAATGATAAAAGATGGGCACCAGTATGTCTGTGTGATGACTGATTACATGACCAAAGGGCCACAGGCATACCCCCTCAAGACCAAATCGGCAGAGGAAGAAACCGGGTGCATTCTTAACATTTTATATCAATTTGAAGCACCAAAAATAATCATCAATTTGAAGCACCAAAAAGAATCCTCACAGATCAAGGCAGAGAATGTGTCGAGTGTTTTTTAATAGTGGCTTTACATCCATCATGAAGAATCTATGTTCACTTTAATTTATTTTATTATTTTGAATTGAGGAAGTCATTTAATGTTTTATTCCACCAATTTTCAGATCAATACCCGGGTCTGTGAAATTCTACAGATTATTGGTCTGAGGATGAATGGTATAATACAGAGGTGAGCAGAGAGTTCGTGTTAATTCATGCTCTGTTCCATTATCAGAAGTAGTACCCGTCATAAAGATAACATATATATATATATATATATATATATATATATATATATATATATATATATATATATATATATATATGCGTTTTTTTGCTTTAACTTTAATTGTTATGAAGACATATTTTGTGCGTTTCAAAAGATAATGACTTTAAAGACAAACATCAGCGGCCGAAACCCTGAAACGCCTGCCTCCAACAGGGACTGAATCCCCACCCAGGATTACCCGAAAATAAAAAAGGCAAAATAATAAATGGGTGCCTCTTAACATTATTTGTACAGCACTTTGGCTCGACCAAAAATCGTTTATAAATGTGCTTTATAAATAAAATTTGATTTGCCTGTAGGAAGGACTGATTCAGCCCAGCTAGACACCCCCCCCCCCCCTTATCTAAACTGAGGAAGCTTCTCAACAGCAAGAGACTCCAGCCAATGCTCCACTTCTACACACCAATACTCACCAAGACAATCTCAACACTATACAACAAACAAAATCAATTACTCACTCCTTTCTCAAAGATCTTGGACGAGCCCCCATTTGTTACATTCCCTTATAAACTTTTGATTGGGACGGAACAACATATAAGGGATCCTTATTGGATCCAAACTGTCATCCCCACACGGCAGGTGTGTAAGACTTCATGTATAGAGCAACATTGTTTATTTTTTCATGGCATTTGACAATTAACCAATGATTTCCCCTCTTATAGGCTGTTAAGGCTATGGTGGAGGCCAAGTATGTTCTAGAAAGGAACAGGGCCATAGCTGAAATGCAGAAGGTGGCTGCAGTGAGCCTGACTTCTGACATGTGGACGTCCATCAATATGGATGCCTATCTGGCTGTAACCTGCCACTTCGTTGACGATAACACATGTCTTAATTCTGTGTTGTAAGAGTGCAACAATTCCCCCAAACACACACTGCTGAAAACCTGGCCAGAGTGAAAGCCTCCCTCATGGAGGAATGGGGAATCCCAGACAAGGTCACTTGCCTGGTGACGGATGGTGCAGCCAATATGATTCCTGGTGCAAACAATTAAGCTACGCCCTTTAAAAGCTGCAGAAGCCACAAAAAGGCTTGTGACTGAATGTGGTGCACTAATCCGAACACCTGAAGCCGTGCCCCAAGAAAAACCATCCACATCTCAACCTGCTGAACAAGAAACCCCAGGTAATTTTAAAGCAATTTGAAGTAATTACTACAATCCACTGACACTCTCTGTGTATACTTTTCAGGAAACAAACTCTGGCATAAATTGGATCAGACTGTAAAGCTGTCCAGGAAGACCAAGAATGCGACGGCTGACGCAACTGTTGAAGTCCAGCGGTACCTGGCCGAACCAAATATCGGACGCTTGGAGGACCCTCTGAACTACTGGCAGACACAAAAACATGTGTATCCAAACCTGTATAAACTTGCAGTCACCTTTTTGTGGCACACCTGCTTCCTCAGTCCCGTGTGAAAGGGTGTTTTCAAAGGCAGGAGAACGTTGAATCAAAGAAAAGAAATCGCCTAAGCCCGAAAACTGTCGAAAAAATATTGTTTTTAAACAAAAAACAATAAAATTGTTCCATGTATCACAAGCACTTTCACTGCCCTCTGCAAAGTCACACAAGTACATTCACTGCCCTCTGCAAAGTCACACAAGCACATTCACTGCCCTCTGGAAAGTTAAACCCTTCTTCTTTTCCAGTTTTCGAACATATATTGCTTCTTTTGTCTTTATAGAAGGCAGCAGATATTTACATTTATTTATGTATAGATATAACAAGATACTATATTGATACATTGTTTTTATTATATACAGTCATTTTAAGACACTTACTGGTGCAAAATTCTGTTCATACAGGATTACAAATACATTTTACATCTTTTACACTTTTGTATCATTATTTCCAGTATTTTGAGTATGTCAAAGATTACAATAGTATGTGGCTGTTTTAACACCTGTTCACCAACAGGGGGTCTTGTGTGCACATGAAGCCCATGATGAAGCCTCATGAGATGAACCTTTTAGTGAACCGATTTGCTGGAAAGCTTCAAAGCTTCATAAGGCTTCATCTCGCCATCACTAGACAACAGTAAACCAAAACAAGTTGCACAGAACACCCATACAGCTCGCAGGAGAAGGAAGAGAGAGACTGAAGCCTTCCTCAGCCTTTTGTGCAGGCCCTAATTGGGGATTGGGAGCACCTGAGGGAGAGGCTGCCCCTGAGGGAGAGGCTGCACCTGAGGGAGACAATCAGGGAGAGAGGGGGGAGAGACACACACAATTAACAGTGAGAAAAGCCAGTGTGAACAAATGAGTTTTAAAGGCTTGATTTGAAATGACACAGTGTCAGACTGTCTGACTATATCATATTATGTTGTATCATTACTTGTCTTTTTTCGTGGTTATAAAGTATCAGTCACTGAACAACAGAGAATGTTTTATGAAATAGGACATCTTATCATTTAATTCTCTATTCTGTAGGAAGGAGGAATAATAACAGAGTAGGCCTACACTTAAAAACGTTAAAAAAAAAAAAAGATCCAATACGAAAAATGCGCCTCCTGGCATGTATGCACAATAATTTTTCAGCCGTTTGGTGTTTAATCTGATGAGAAATATATCATTCAATAGAGAGAAAGTAAATCATTTATGTGGTTCTTCTGCTCAGAAAACTAGACGAAATGCCCAATAACTGAAATGACGTCCCCCATGCGCTTCAATCTACAGCACAACACCGGTGTTCACCTGCAGAGGGCGCCCTGCAGCCTCTCATCCCACCGGAAGAAGGAACAGACATGTAACATTTAACCGGATGTAAATAAACTGCCTTCCCGCGCAGTTAAACCGGCTCAACAACGCATCCACATTCACGGATAATCTGACAAAATGGACGAGCTTTATTTGGATAACATCGACGAATATGTCAATGACCAGGATAAGATAGTGAGTGTACTCTTTATTTCATCACATGTCTTCTTTTCTTAACATTAATGCCAACGTTAGAACCGCGTTAACCTCGATACAAGCAGCCGCTGAACTGCATTAAGAAAACGGCTCGTTTACGGTTTGTTTTGCTTTTAGACTTGGTATTTATTAATCATGGCGTTTCATACAACGTGTAACGATTTATTAAGTGACTTTTGTTAATTCGGCTTATGTATAGTTTTGGGAAATATCGCTTGGATTGATCAAAACGTACATTTTTAAAACTAGTGTCAGTTCAATGTTGTTGCATGTGTCCGCCAACGGCTATGTTTTGAAATGTAACGAACCCTGTTATTTAAAAAAGCCGTTAAGTTAGTTAACAGGTTAAAGATGTTAACAAAAAGACCATCCAGGCTGCAAAGTCAAGCTTTTTTGTCTACCAGCAAATTAATAGTGAACGTTCACATTTTGCCTTGGGTGAATTATTAAACGTATACACTGTTTGTTGTCTTTCTGGCGAGTGAGTGATACAAACCTACTTGCACATTTGGCCATCACTAGCTGGTAAATGCTGCAGTTAGTCTGACCATTTAAACGTTAACCGTCGTTGTTTATACAACAGTTGAAGAAAAGGAAATTTGACTCGGGGACAGTTTCATCCCACCGTTAAACACCTGAACTTTTGAAAGAACATCCATAACATTCATCTCAGTTATTTATCTAATTAATATCATATTCCATTTACTTGTATATACTCTCCTTGCACTATTCTATTTTATTTGTGTTTACTTGCACTATTTTTATTTGTTCTATGTCCTATATGTTGCACTGTTGGAGGAGCCTGTGACCTAAGTTTCATTGACATATCTACACTGTAGCTAATGTACAAATGACAATAAAGCCTTGAATCTTGATTCTTGAAATGGTAAATAATCATATATTTTTTTCTCTTAGGTGTCTCGTTCATGTGCCAAGTGAATCTTAACACTAATGTTGTTTTGTTTGTTTATCAGGTGACTTATAAATGGCTGAGCCTCACTCTGGGAGTCCATGTCAACACAGCCAAACAGTGAGGGGTTATTCTCTTTTTTGGTGGAATAAAATGAGCAGAAATAGGGACAAGTCTTGATGGTCATACATTTGATTGTTAAACACAAGATATTTCTATGTATACTTGGTAATTGGAATCATAGTCACAGCATCATAATGGAACCAGTAGCAACTCATTATATGACTGTTTTTAAAGCCACTTCCTGAGTACCTACCATGGACGACATTAAATGTTTTACTATGAAATACACTTTACCAACTTCTTAAATAAACCTTTGTTAAATTAAAAGAAGACAAAATCCCCACCAAGCTAACCAGGTTTTGACTTCCGGGTAGGTGATGACAAAAATAAAGTGTTTAATGTCAAGAAAGAAGCTCAAGGTTCAACATCAGTGTTAGTAATTACCCAGACATCTGTAAGGCAAGGCAAGTTTATTTATATAGCGCCTTTCAACACAAGACATTAAGAAAATGGCATTTAAAAACAGTCATTAAAAAGCAAAGATAATAAAATAAACATTAAAAGGAAAAAATACATGAATAAAGGTTACAGTGCAGTTAAGATATGAATAGTTCGATTAAAAGCAGCGGCAAAAAGAAAAGTCTTAAGCCACAATAGCTGTACAATAACTATGCAAAATGTAGTCTAAATTATATACTTTTTTAAAATAAAATATTGTAAATAATAAATTACAAGGCTAATAATTCTGTGTTAACCTCAGTTTTTTGATAACCCCAGAGATGCATTTCGCTCAGTCCCCGAACAATATTATTAATATTAAGTACAATACTAATTCACCAACAATTAAAGTATGTGTCTTGTTTCTAGAATGCTCTTCCATTATTTGGATCACAAGAGGAAGGAGAGTTCGGCTCAGCTCCATGCCACCTACCTCGTGTCAGGAAAGTGTGTGGACAACGGCCAAGCGGTGAGAACAACAATAAATAAACAACAATATGATTTGCATATTTCTGGCTTTTTCAAAATGTCAGAACTTTTTTATTAAGTTTTGCTGCTGTTTTGTTTCCTTGCAGAGTCACAAGGTGTCGGTTATAAAAGAGGACAAGTTGGAAGGTGTCAAATAAAACGTTACTATTTTTTAAAATGATCGTTCAGTGTGTCGGTTTATTTATGGAGCTATATAATGAAGAGGCGTCTAACCTCAGGTGTGATTCATTTTGCAGACTTCAAATCCAAGATGAGCTTGATAGTCAGTGTCCACGTCTACAGTGTGCAGAAAGCTTTGCTGAAAGACAGCGGTCCGCTCTACAGCGTGGACTATGATGCCGTGAAGGACAATATGAAGAACTGCAGCAAGTATGGTTCATTTTTATCATTTCATATTTCCCTGTTATAAAAATGAGAGCAATCAGGATCTTTACAGTAATGTATTTTGTTCCAGTCTTATTCTATTTCAGCTTTTGCATTTGTACTCTTTGCTTTTTAATAACTGCATTTCAATGTTTCATGTGCTTCTGTTGCATCATGTCTAAATGCTTTTTATGTTTTTTGTAAAGCACTTTGAATTGCCCTGTTTTGCTTTAGATAAAATTGTCCTTGCGTTACACAAGTAGGAAAAAGCAATTTTATTATTAGCCTGCAGAGAGCTTTGTTTTAATGTGGGGTCCTCGTAAAAACAGTTAAAAAAATATATATATTAAAATCTACCTTTTAAACATCCACCTCCTCCAACCAATTTCTACTTCAATGCCTAATGTAGTTTAGTGAAGTGGTAGCTAGTGAATAAACTAACCCAGCCGCAATCCATTGTTAAAAAAAGAGACACATCTGTTTAATCATACCAGTCTTTAGGAACGTTCTGCATTGTTCCTACCTTCTTCCTTCTGTCTGCAGGTACAGTGCGATCCGCTGTGCCGGGGCAGTGCCCGTGTCCTCTGTGGAGCTGCAGCAGACGAGAGAAATCCAGAGAGCTCCTTCCCCAGAGCCTGAGAGCAAAAAGTCTGGCATGAACGGGAGTGCTCATCAGGCGTCGAAGCCTTCCACCAAGCCACAGAAAGGCATCATGGGAATGTTTGCGAGTAAGACTTCTTCTAAGAACCAGGATAACGGCAAAGAGGTTAAGTCTGAGCAGAAGGAGGAAGCACCTGTGGTACGTTTGATAGATCATTGGATGATTCATTCATGTTTTTTTTCAAACGCAAATACAAAATGTAATCCAAATAAAACACAATTACAGTGAAATAAATACAGATTGGTGAAAAAGAGAAATAAACGTAAGAGTTGCCACTAGAGGCAGTGGCTCAGTCAGTAGGGGGCTTGGACTGTGAGCCGTAGGGTCGCCGGTTCAAGTCCCCGAACAGACCTAAATATGGAGTGTGGACTGCTACTTGGAGAGGTCCCAGTTCACCTCCTGGGCTCTGATGTGGTGCCCTTGAGCAAGGCACCGGACATCCTCCTTCCCACTCCCATTGCTCCCCGGGCGCTGTACAATAGCTGCCCACTGCTCCTGGTAGTAGATGGGTTAAAAGCAGATTTCACTATGTGCTCTGCATGTGTGACCATTAAAGAGGGTTTCATCCTTCACTATTCTATTCTAGAGTTGTGGTATCACCGGTATTAATGATGACCATCTACAGCAAACCTTTCTGTTTTCAGATGTAGTCTAGCTGTGATTCTTTCCACGATGTCAACATCTTTTACCCTGTCTCTCCACTGCAAACTGCTGGGGGGTTGAGACTTTACTGGTGTGTGTGTTTGATATTTTAGGACGATGCCCCCAAAAGCAAGCCAGCTGTAAAAGCCAATCCTATGATGAACTTCTTTGGGAGTCAAGCAGCAAGTGAGTATTACCTTTTTATATTTTTCCAAACAAATGTTTTTTTTTCTAGCTACTCTAATATTATTCTGTTTCCATAAAAAATAATCCAACAAATGAAAAGATCATTTGTTGGATTCAAGATGTATGGATGTAATTTGAGGCAACATCTTTTGCAGACAGACGTAAATATCAGCAATTTATTTCACAAAAAGTAAAAAGCCAAACATGATCTGAAAAGTAGTTGAAATACACGAGGTTTGATGGCAGTGGCATGCAATGTCACTTCATGTGTATGGAGGGTTAAATGTATTTGCATATCTTTTAACATGCGTGTGTGCCTTGTGGTGTTGGACACATGCCATTCAAACTTTGGGTTTGACTCACTTAGACAAATGAACCAATGCTTAGGAACCATTGAGTAGTTTGGGTTAAAAACCTTTAGTTTTCAGGGTTTTTGTCTCAAATGTTAGATGTGTTATTAATGCGCCTGGGCCCCTTTTCTCAAGCTGAAGATTGTTTGTCAGGGTGACACATTTCATATATCTCCATCAATGTCTTATAGTGGTTAATGGTTGTTAAATAAAATGACTTAAATTGTAACAATGCGGTAGAATGACATCAGAAGCGCCTCAGCTTCAGGTAAGCCCTCTTCACTGCTGAGATGAACCCCAAGAGGAGCCACATCCAAACAGAAATGACATTGTTTGTGTTTTTTGTATCCTGGCAAGTTCAGTAAACAGGAATGTGGCTTGACACAACAAGAGTGACCAACATGACTGACGTTATGGATGAGAAACGTATTTAAAAACTGTTGTGTTGGTGTGCTGACTTATCACTAACCCTCCCAACCAAACACTCTTTATTTCTTCAGAGAAACCAGAAAAGACTGTGAAGCAGGAGGAAGCTCCTCCGTCGTCTTCATCAGTGTGAACAGAAACGTCCGCAGCCCGAAGAAAAAACACAAGCTGCTGTCGTGAAGCCAAAACCTAAAGACAACCCAGAAGAGGTCCAGGAGGTGTGGATTCTGTTACATGAAAGTATTGAATGTGCTAGGACTTGGTGATATGAAATAAATCATACATCTCAAATATTGTTTAGCAAATTCCTCTATCTATGTTGTGACAATAGTGTAGATTGACTATTGGTGCTTTTGCTAAATATTTCAACATTGCGAGTTTAATAAATAATCATTAGCAACATGGAATTAATAATTAAGTGGCTAAAAGCAAATAAATAGAAGAGCGAGAGCAGTCCTGAAAGCGCAATATTACGATATCCCTAATCATCACATCTAGTATCATAACACGATATATTTGCTCAAAACGTTAGATGGAAACGGAGACAAGAACAAGTCTCCTTTTGAATTGAATGTACTGTAAAAATATTGACGTTTTTTATATTAAGAAGTATTCATTCACTTGGTTCACCAAAGTAATTATGCCTATAAATATATTTAAATTAAAGTCTTCCTCTTCCTCTTAGCAAAACCAAGCGAGTCGAGGAATCTGACAGCGAAGAAGATAAAATGGACAAGAAAAAGAGACGCAGGATTAAGAAGCCTGTGTCAGACAGCAGCGATGAAGATGGTAAGAGCTTTACTTTCACTTTAAGTCATTCTTAGGAAATTCAGTTTTGTAAATCATTTAAGTTAAAAGGCCTCGATATAAATGGCAAATGACTGGGAAAGTTGACTACAGGAAGGAATACATTCCCCTTTAATGTTTATTTAATTGAATTTCAAAAGCCCTTTAGTAGAACTTAACTAACTCTGTTCACCTCTTCAGTGATTCCAGATTCTCCGCAGCAGATGGAAACAAGAGAACCGTCGCCGAGTCCTAAGAAGGAGATCAAGGCTGTTTCACATTCACATGTAAGAGTTCAATATTGTAGTGTTGACGTAATTACTGTAACACACAAATATAGGTAATAGAAATCCATTTATTCCACTAATAGTCTCTCGATTGAATGTTCCCTATGTATATGGATGTATAATAAGAACTGGATACAGCGTGGGAGGCGGGGTCTCGTTCTTTCCTATGAGAGCTGCTCATTGGCGCATGAGGACAAAATGGCCCAACTTTTGAGAGAGCTGAAACGTCACAGATTACCCGTCATGCCTGGCTGTCAGAGCAGAAGTAACCCGTATGTGCGCTCATAGAGCATGCGCAGTTGAGTTGCCCTCTTAAGCCCCGCCCCCGAGCTCCCACTCTGATGCGCGTTCATAATGCCAAGGAAAATAACTCGGAATAACGCTATTAGCACATTTTACAACTTGAGGACCGAATGTTTTTAATAAGGGCTATACAAACGTTCATACTGGGTAGTTTATTTGGTTAAAAAAAAATATCCAACGATTTACAGACGTCTCATTCCCGATGTTAGTCAATGGGAAAAAGTGTTTCCGGGCCCAGCAACCGATACGGAAGTGTAGTACTGCCGTTTGGCCACAACGAATATTTTCCTCAGAGTCCGGCGCACTTCCTGGGGGCTTGTGTATATCACACTGAATATATATAACAATTACGTGTTTTCTTTTATTGCTACAGCAGCGAGACGCTGAGATGAAGACGAGGAAGATACTGACGAGTCCTGAAATCTTGTACCTTTTAGATGACGAAGGATGCATGGGTATGAAAACAAGTTATACTTCATGTTATTTTAATTTCACCAAAAACAAGACAACATTGTACAGAATTCGTATTTTTAAAAGGTCTCTCTAGATCATTTTCATAAGATACCAGTATAACAATACATTGTCATAACGAAATTGTAATAGAATTATCGATTTATCTCAGACAAAAAAATAAAAAATCTTTTAAGTTGTTGTTGATATTATGTAAGAGAGATGTTTATTTAATTATCAAATAATCTGCCAAATATCTTTTTTTTTATTGAACTGTCTCTATAAAATGTAAGACAAGTTGTAACCCTAGCAACCCCCACTTGATGTCTTAAACATGCTTACTTTATCTGACCAAAAACTCAATTATATTTGGTTTATTATTATTATTGAGTTACTGAATAAAAGCTCATAGTTACATTTGAGAAAGTATAACTTTTTAAGGAGCAAAATAATTTCTTAAACTATTACTCAATTTTCAAAACAGTTAATTTATAGAGAATAAATCAAGTTTTTCAGCTCTGATTTAATTTTTTTGTGTCCTTATAATCTAGATAAGTGTGTATAATGGGATCTGATAAAAACATGTTGATATAATGCAGTTTAATTAAGCACCACCTATAAACACATTAAGCCTAAATTCCCTCTGATTCTATCTTTCCCCCACAGTGACAGAGAAGGGCTATGAGAGTGAGTCGTACTCTGAAACAGAAGACGACTTCCAGGCCGCGAAACCAGCCCCGAAACATCCCGTTCCCGCAAAACTACCTGCGAGCAAACCGGACGAGAAGAAGAGCCAGAAGAAAAATAACGCAAATGCAAATAAGGATCTAAACAAGCTTCAATTATGGGATTTTTCCAGAAGAAATGATGAGAGCAACGACAGACCCTTTTTATCGGCACTGAGGAACAACAAGCACTGCTGCAGACTTTCTGTGATGAGGTTTTGGTGACTTGAAATACATGGACATATACAAATCAGTATGACGGCTGTTATCCTTTTCACCTTACCATTACCTGCTTTTACTACATGACCTACTAAATAAACAATAAATACTGAAACTTAATGTGTTTTTTCCTTTGAAGAGAACAGATTGTGCTCAATTTCAGGTTCATATTTGTATTTTGTGATTCTTTCTTCTTGTTTCTCCAACACATTGTACTTGATAGGCTAAGGGGTGGGGCATCTTTAAGCGGTTGACCAATCACAACAGAGCCAGCCAGTTAGCCAATCAGAGCAGACTGGGCTCTGGTTTCAGACAGAGGGTGAAAGAGCTGCTGCAGCACAGGCAGTAAATAAAGAGCTTTTTGAACATTAAGCATGGAGACATGTCCCAGTAGAGGCACTGCATACTGATATGAACCTGAAATGAGCATATAGGGCCCCTTTAAAGGGGACCTATCATGCAAAATGCACTTTTGTACGTCTTTTATACATGAATATGTGTCCCCGGTGTTCCAGGGAACTCACCAAGTGTCAGAAAACACAACCCTCTCTATTTTCCTCCATACCCAAATCTCTAAAAAAGGGGCTGCAACGGATCTGAGATAAAAACTGATCCAGATTTGAACACTCCTGACGTCAGGACAGTGGCGCTACGGCTATTGGGCCAACTCCACCAATCAGGAGGAGACAGCCACGGCCATTGCCGTTCGAAAGCGCTGGAGACGCTGTAGTACATATGCCAGGCCAGTAGGTGGTGCTGTTCTCACAGAATCAGCCCTTGCTAAAACGGAGCTAAAAAAGTGCAAATTGAGCGAAATGAGGCATGGCTACAATGCATGATCTGTTTGGTATTTTGAAAAAAAAAAAGTATAAATATGCCTTATATAGGTATGGTCCTACTATATTATTCAAATATAGCATGATAGGTCCACTTTAAGTAAAGTAACTTGAGCAAATGTACATAACGCAGCGTCCACACGGCGGCGTGCGTTGAAGCTTGCCGGTGGGCGTGTCTGAAACTCGACCAACAACCAATCACATGAATCTCCCGCCCCGGACACAGAAGCACGCAGTTTGATTGGCTAGAGCTTGTACTGGCATATGATTTGATTGGCTGACGCTTCCGTCGAAGCTTCAAAAGTTGAACATTGAACAACTTTTGAAGCGAGCAACGCGACGGAACCACAATGCAGTTCGGCAAAGCGTGACGTCAACGCACGCTGCCGTGTGGAAGGGGCCGTAACACCCCTGAAATATATATTTACACAAGTCAAGAATGGCTTTATGTGAAAATGAAATGCTTTTTTTCTCAAATGTTTGCACAAATTAGAAAGTTAGGGTGGGTTGGACAGTATCCGATAAATATGTTGTTTACTATTATTAATTAACACCTTGCATGCTTTTTTCCTTCCAAAGCAAAGCAGAATGTGTTCATAAAGGTACAAAACCAGCTCAAATTACAGAAAAGTCCTCCAGTTTTTTCTACCAAATGTCTAGATGACACGCAGTAGACAATGTGGTCTTTGGGGACTTGTTGCTCCAGGACAACCACACAGACTTCCCAGTGAGCTCACACAGAAGCACCACACCCTCTCTCCCAGTAGAACTGGTATTTGGATTAGCTAAGCACTCCAACGTGAAAAAAAGATATCCCTCCCTCTGCTGTTTCAGGGAGTGGTCAGAATATGTGTTCAGCCATAGTGGTTTGTCGTGGCTTTTGCTCCATTATGGCATCTGTTGAATGAGGTCAGACATGATGCATTTTTATTTTAAGAGGAGGTGTCACAGCTGCGCCTCCCTCTCTCAAAGACAGCTGAGTCACAGGCTACAGTACGTTCCTCTTTTGGGGATAACAATAGCACCAGTGTTCATGTTAATTCCTTTACATTTTCAACATTTCAACTAGCTTATATAACATGTCTTCCACTTTGTGTCTTTTGTTATTATGGCTGCACTCGCATATTTCCCTATAGTTCATTATAACATTTTGACTTTCTGCAAAACAGTCGGATCTTGATGGGAAGTTAGATTTATTGGTTTTAAAGCATAAAACCATGTACAAAGCTTTTCGCTTCATAGATTGATGAACCTGCAAATGGGTCTATTGGGTTATATAGGTTAAAAGGCATGACAAATTATTACAAGCACATTTCCCATATTTAATTCCTGAATTGAGCTTATTTGTTAGATGATTTGTTACTCTTGGGGTTGTCAGTGAAACCAACAATCAAATATTGCTTTATGGCATTATTGAACTACCAACAGTGTGTACAAAAGTTAAAATAGGTTTATGCTGTATTTAACAGTGGTGGAATGTAATAGGTACATTTACAAAAATTCTGTTAGTAATTATATTATTATTATATTATTTGTAATTCTGCAATGTTGACGTACTTGTACTATACGGTGTATTTCAAATGGAACGCTACTTTTGGTACATTAAGTATATTTTGAGGCCAATACTTATATACTTTTAATCAGTAAGATTTTGAAATAATTACTTTTACTTGTAACAGAGTATTTTTATAATTGAGTATTTCTACTTTTACTTAGGCCTAAGTAAAATATCTGAGTACTTCTTCCACCACTGATATGCAATGGAATCTTAAGTAAGAGGTAAACATGACAGACCAAAATATAGTAAACTCTACATGTTATGCTACTTTGTCATTTGCTAGTGCCTTCATCATTTTAATTGTTAATTTCCATAAATCATTTCCCCACAGAATTTGACAACCACAGCAGCGTGGTGGGGAGGGAGCGGGGTGACGTCACTGTGATCCACATCCACAGGGCGGCAGCAGGAGGGGCGAGGCGCTGATCCACCGTGTCATGGCTTCCTAACAGGAGGGGGAAGCGATTCAGAGGAAAACAAGGATTTTTGTTCAACACCGGAGCACTTTATCGCTCTTTTCAGAACCTAAATATTGGGACAGAGGGGTTCGGCCTCCCTTTTTTTTGACTCCCCTCATCCCTAACGGCCGCCCCTGGGATCCAGGACCCTCTTTAATTGTATCAGTGAATTTCCACTCGGTAAACCGTGGAAGATGGCCGACCCGGCGGAGTGCACCATCAAAGTGATGTGCCGCTTTAGGGCCCCTGAACAGCTCCGAGGTGGTCAGAGGAGACAAGTACATTCCCAAGTTTCAAGGGGAAGACAACGTTATCATCTCGGTGAGTTGTGTAATTGAAGGATTGGAGCTATTTGACAGACAGAGCCCTCGGGCACAGTCAGCCGTAATAACGCCATTTTTGATTGTCTTGTAGCTACGGTAGTTAGCACCTTAGCTTGATAGCTAACGTTAGCTGACCTGTTCACCGTTGTTCGCCGCTGGCCCTCAGCTGAGGCCAACAAGTCAGTCACTCCTAAACTCGTTGATAATTCGAGTCTCCAGCTCATGGATAGTCTGCATCAGCATTCAATGAAACATTTCAATGAGCAACGTCCAGTGGCTGTTGGTGTTTAAATGTCACTTTATTCAGTTGCCCTGTCACGGCTAGCGAGCTGTCATTCAACAAAGCCACTCACACAGGGTGAAATGTCGCCAGCAAACAAACCCTTCCGGCTATACTAACTGCACTATTATCACGCAATTCATTGATAAGTAGCCTTTCATATGTGACCATGAAGCTATTAATTATGAACGGTTTGCGTCAGCATAAAGACTAAGCCAGCTTTGATTTAGTAGTGGGCTAACAGCCTGTTCGCTAACAGTCTAGGCCAGCTGGTAGTTGACAGATTAGCCGGCCTTGGCTAGCTGGCTAGTTTTTAATACTGTTGCTTAATTATAGCTAACATTAGCTAGCTGACCAGCTGGCTACATAAACAACTCTTTTGTGTAGAACACCTTGAACTATTCTGTTATTGATTATAACAATGGTCAAATTGGTAGCAGCCTCCAAATAATGTCATTGGCAGTGGAAAAGTCAATTGAAATGCAGGCGTGTTGTGTTCCGTTAGCCTCAAGTGACTAACACGTTATAGTTAATAACCTAACAAGTTACACATTCAAACTTAGTAACTGTGCGTAACTTAGTAAAGAGTAAATACTATATCTGTTAACCCTTTTTAATAAGAACATTTAGTTTGGGATCACACACAAGTGTTTTTTTCATTAGTCTAATTAGCCCTCTAGTCATACAGAACCAGCACTTGATAAGGATATTGACATGGGCACAATCTCCCCTCAGCAGAAGGAAATGCCTTTAATGATTCAGTGCCATGTTACCCCCCACTTACTACTGAATCAACCAGGAAATTGACCTGAGGGTCAGTTTGCAAATGATGTGCACTTGATGCTTTGTCATCATTAGCCTATACATTATGTCTTAAAAGGGCAATATTTGCACAACCTGTGTTCATGCCATTGCTTGCATGTAGTCTATTGTGTGGCACCAAAAGAAAAAGGTGGGTCTTTTGACATGCCTTATGACTGTAGTAATTAAGAAGCATAAAAGCCAGGCTGATATCTCAAGTTTGGTACATGCTTATACATCTAAAAGCCTACAGCGTATAATTTGAAAAGAATCTTGGTTAAACATTATGTATCCTTAGCGCCATATTATCGTTGTGTTTTGGACTTGTGTCTTTCTTACCTGTGCTTAAAACTCGTTTACAAGGCAATAGAAACTGATCTTGAATTGCATTCATAAAGTTGCAAGTTTCAGCTGAGCCCTTTGGAGTTTAAAAAACTGTTCATTTAGGTGGAACGTTTTAGAATAAAACGGTACTATTCCTTTTCTGTCATGCAAAAAAGAAAGGACTGTGGAAGATGTGGTGACTTCTTGAATAGTTTTACTGACACTGGACTTAAGGCCTTAACTAAAGCATGTGTACTGTCATGCCCCTCACGCGTGATGTGGCCAGCCCATTTCAGAGTGCCAGCCATAGTGGCAAATACCAGTTCACATTGTGAAGGACGCACGTGTTGCAGAGCCTTGTATCCTCTGCTAGGGCATCTGCTTGGAGAACTACAACACTTCCAGTGCCCATAAGCAGCAGCACAGGCCTACTGGGTAATCCCCTTGTGTTTCTCTCTTGGTAACCAGCTGTTTGACCAATCAGAGTAGGCAGTTGGGCCGTGTGCTGGCGATTTCTCCGTGTGGGGAGGGTAATTATTGTGATCGTGTATTTTGTTTTGCAGATGCTCTTATCCAGGGTGACTGACACACTTAGCTTATATTTGTATCCGCTTTGAAACAAATTAGGGCGTGGACCCTGTGTTGGTGCTCAGCCAGAGGAAAAACTGACCACACGTTGTAAAGACGTCTTAACAAGCAGCTTCACCATTGCAGGCCTTGGCTTTGGTTCTCACAGATATTGATAAAGTATGCCCTAGAGCAGAGATGTTTGTTCTCCAAAGGAAATTATTAGCAGTATGCTCTTACTCAGCTGGTGGCTCGCTTAAAAGTCCTGCCAGCCTTTTGCCCGGAAAGGGAGGCAGACAAAGTTTCCAGATGAGGTGGTAAGGGTGGCTCGGTTTGCCAGTGTAGTGTGCACTAGGTGAATTATTAATGTATCCATTACTTCCGTGTCAAGTTTTGCACACGCAAGATCAGTTTATTCCCTCGTGATTTGCTGTCACATTATTTGGCATACAGAAGCCTTTTGATGGCCTAAGAACACAGATCGGTTACTTTTAGTGCAAAGGTGGAGTTGCGTGAGGGCTAAAAAGGATTAGAGAGAAAAGGAAAAGTGCTCCTAACGCATTTCAAAAGGTAAATAACAGAAAGAACTGGGCACCTCTTTTATTCCTCCAGACTCTACAAGGAAATAAGGCTCCCAACAAACCCCCATTTGATAGCCTAGCACTTGTGCTTTGGATGTGACCGTCTGTCAGGAGGATTATAAACCCGGAGTTCAATTCAAATTTAGGACATCTCAGCTGTTGCAGTTTTACACATTATAGTACTGGTAAAGGTGCCTATAGCTTGTGTGCCAGACAGTGACATGCTTGTGGTTTAACCTTGAGTTATGAATGTGTTGTCCTAAAACAAGTTAGCTCTAATCAGCGGCATCACCAGGCGTTTGTCGACATTCTCAGCCTACTCCTGCTGTTATTGGCTTTCAATGGTTACTTTTGTATTTTTTAACCTCGACCTGCTTTCCCCAAGATTTAAAGTGACTTATGGGGAAAACAATTTAAAAAATGTGTCCAGTTTCCATGTCCATGAAGGAGAACGCTACAAGCCGCTCACTGGCTGCTATGTAATCCTGTCGGGATTGCAACGTTTTTGTCAGTGAAAGGCTCAGATTGTTAGAAAAGTTTCTGACAACATTTTTGGAAAAGAAACCTACGGGGATGAAACTTATTATCTTCACCTTTTGCTTGATCCAACCAGTTTGTTATTGTGTCCAACCAAGTCTTGCTCTAAGGGAAGAGAAGCTACATATTGCCTCCATTAGTTCTCAAGACGCAAAATAACTTAGTCTGCTACTTAGAAAACATCAAAGTTACCATTTTAAATATTGAATTAATTACTGGTCTACTGCTTCTAAGTCATGTAATTGTTGGAACCTAGGGTATCAAATGCATATGGTGCTGTTCTCTTAACCCCACCCACCATGCTGCAGACGAGATGAGTCAACCGGGGACTTCAAACGTCTAAAGACAGCGTGCCATCTCAGTGGAACCTCAGATCTGCTTGTAGCATCAGTTTTATTACCCTGCGGTTGCCTTCTTGAATCCAGCTATCGATTGCCATCTCCCTTGAGTTGTGCTTTGAACTGTTGACTAGCCCACAGGATATCACAACCTGTGTGGTTGTTTGAAGTATGCTCGCTTTTAAGCTCAGAGTTTTCTTCATTAAAAATGCCGTGGCGAGTTTGGAGAGGAGTTCAAATGGGACAGGAGAAGTTGTATGAGGACAGATAACTTTCAAAGGTCAACTAGCATGCAGCCGGCAAATTCATCAGATTGTGACAGTTTGGGAGCGTCCTCATGGGAAGAGTGACCAGCACTCAGTTTGGATCTGGCAGGAGATCTTTGCTTCATGTCATCTCTCCTATTGCCCCGTGTTCACCTTTCTTTTGTTTCTATTAGAAAAACATGTCAGACAAAGATACTTATCAGGGGAACGAGAGCTGGGCAAAATAAGCATATATTGTATACTGTCAAAACGAATGGACGAATAGACTATTTATTCATTGAATTAGGGGTAAACATGCTCTGCTTTGATATTATTTGTATGTATTGTGATAGAAGGGTTTGCCATATTCCCCAGCCTCCTGTCAAGGTAACATGTTTTCAAAGTATACTTCAATTAGGGGGAAAACATGTGAAGGGTCCGTAGGGGCTGCATGCATATGGCTTTTCTTATTTGTAATGCCATTAAACAATCAAAACACTTGCTGTTGTCCAAAAGATTTTTGGCCAGATCGGACGCTTGGTGTCAAAAAAATGAATCGATGTTGTGATGTCAGTTGGTTAAAGAAAGTAGCGTACGCACATCTGTTTAGAAAACATGTTACATTTTTAGTCTCGTGAGGCTTCACAGACTGAGTTGTTGTTTTGCTTCTCACTCTTCTTCTCTTCATTCCAGAGCAAACCGTACATGTTCGACAGAGTGTTTCAGTCGAATACGACACAGGAACAAGTGTACAACGCCTGCGCCCAGAAGATTGTAAAAGGTAAGGTCTCTCTTTTGCTTTTATTAGAAGGTTTGTTATTGAGAGGCATGCACACAGCTAATAATAGCAATCAGGCCAGGCTTCTTCTTTTTTTTTTTATCTTGACATGAACACAAATCTGTTTGGTGTCTTGTAGATGTTTTGGAGGGATACAATGGAACGATTTTTGCATACGGGCAGACATCATCTGGAAAAACTCACACCATGGAGGTAACAAGGACTTCTGATTACCTTTTTAATGTTTGAATGCATCTTGTGATATAATGGAAAGCTTCACTTCTCATCATTACATGAAATGCTCTCTGTTTGCAGGGGAACCTCCATGACACAGATGGAATGGGCATCATCCCCGGATAGTTCAAGATATCTTCAACTACATCTATTCCATGGATGAAAACTTGGAATTTCATATCAAAGTAAGTAGTTAGACGGATTAAAAGTGACATTTGTAACCCACTTTAGATAATCAGCTATTACTTCTGACTAACATGATTAGTTGTAACAAGCTACATACTTCCTGTTTTGCAGTTTGCTATTACGAAGCATTTTTCTGTAGGAGTGACTTGTTACTTGGTGTTGCTGTATCATATTGTCTGACTCATTATCAAAAGACATTGACACATTTATTTCTATGCCTTTGGGGTTTTCCCTTATTCTTATTAATTAAGAAGTAATGGCATCTTTGTCTGAACAACACCTGTTTATTTCCATGCTGTTGTTGTTTCATTATCTTCAGTTAAAGGTGGGGTAGGTAATTCACTTCAGAAACACTTGTTATATTCAGGGGTGCACATAACAGGTACGCATGCGCGGCAACAATCTGAAATGCGTACCGTCACTTGTGTCACAAAGCGCATTTGCGTACCGACTTACTTGTGAAACTTTTCCAGAAGGCGGTTAGATCACCGGACGACAGTCAGTCTCCGTGTGCACAGACAGGGCTGCTGTTAACTAGGGATGGGAACGATTAATCGAATATTCGAAATTATTCAGGTATTCGAATACGAGTTATGAATATTATATTAATTTTTTTTCTTTCTTTTTTTGGGAGGGATGCCTAAGTTGATTACATATTATCAAATTGAACAATTCAATGTATACGACAGTGCCATAGCTAAATGTGTTAGGTGACGTCTAAAGGTGTGTTTTGCCTCCGCTCACCGGTCACCGGTTCTTACCTACCCTACCTTTAACATCACAACCCCCTTGTTTGTATTCTGTTGTGTCAGCTGGATCGCCAAATAATGAGGCTCTTTCTCTTGTCAACAGGTTTCATATTTTGAAATTTACCTAGACAAGATCCGGGACCTGTTGGACGGTAAGTGACTCTAATAAACATTATACAGGTATACATGGGCAGTGGTAAGCCCCTCAGAATGAATGTTGCCGAGTGAATAACCTAATTTCTTTCTCCTCATCTACAGTTTCAAAGACCATTTGTCAGTCCATGAAGACAAAAACAAAGTACCGTATGTCAAGGTGAGACCGAACTCATGTCAAATATCCAGAAAAACGTGTTTGTTTGGCCGATCATCTCACCTCATACTCTGCTTTCCTTTAAAGGGCTGCACTGAGAGATTTGTCTGCAGCCCAGAGGAAGTCATGGAAACAATTGATGAAGGCAAATCGAACAGACATGTAGCAGTCACAAGTAAGACCCCATCATATTCTCTGAATAGTCTGCAGGTTTTTTTTGCAATTTTGATGCTGATGCATGGTAATCATTTGTCCCGTAGACATGAACGAGCACAGCTCCAGGAGTCACAGCATCTTCCAGATAAACGTCAAACAGGAGAACACTCAGACGGAGCACAAGCTCAGCGGCAAACTCTACCTGGTGGATCTGGCTGGGAGTGAAAAGGTAATGCTACACAAAGTCAGACAATTGTAAAACAAGATGATCCCTGTTTCTCAAAGTCTTTAGTTCTGTTAAATATGATATGAAAAGCAGGAAAAATTCATATTTTAGAAGCTGAAAAAAGCATTTTCTGGCATTTTTGCCCAAAAATGACTTAACGAATAATAGATTATAAAAAATGTGGCAATGATTTCTCTATCAAGTGACTGATCATTTCGTCTCTGGACACAAAATAGTGTAAACTCTTGCCATTGTGGATCAGGTAAACCTACACCACTGACTGTGTTCGGTAATCTGCATTTTTGTTTGACCCCATTTTCCGCCTGAACAGAAAACAGCATGGGACCTTGTTGACGTTGTTGTTTGTGTGATGTTCAGGTCAGTAAAACCGGAGCCGAGGGAGCTCTGCTGGACGAAGCTAAGAACATCAACAAGTCTCTGTCGTCTCTGGGAAACGTCATCTCTGCCCTCGCTGAAGGAACGGTCAGTGACACTGCTTTATTTGTTAACGTAGCATACAGAAGGGAAGCTTTTCACCATCTGCACATCCCTGAGCTAGGTGTCTTTCATTCCTCTCACTGTGGAAGTACTATTCTCCACCATCTACAGGTCCTTTGTGTCTCAAAAGTCACTTTAGGAGATAGAGGCTTTCCTTCGAGCCAATGTTTTTGTTTCGAGGCTTCATAGTGATTTCACGCTCTTCACTTTAATCAACAATGTGTTTGTTCTCGGGGCCCGCCCCCCCGCTCTGTAAACAACCTGAGGGCGGCAGCCGCAGATATATTTATGGTGAGGTGAAACAAATGAGCTACTGTGCACAGAGATGTCTCACTCCTGACTGAACAGCTGTTTCTATCACTTCTCCTATAATATTTCAAGTTAGCATTTAACTACATATTACAAGATTTTGCATCATCGTTGAACCAAGCGACAGGATCTTCCTTGGTTGAAAAAATACTTGTTTTTAAAGGTTTTCCTCCATGGTTTATTTTGACCTGCAGGTTTTACAAATTGCAAACGTTAAGTATTCGTTACTTCTTTGATGAAAAGCTTTGACACAAGGACACTTTCTGTGTGTGTGGCTGCCGCTGGTCGCATGTCATAAAACAGTCATGCGCACATTAAAGGGGAGCTGTCATGCAAAATGCCCTTTTTTATGTCTTTTATACATAAATATGTCCCCCCCGTGCGTCGGGGAACTCACGCAGCGTCAGAAAATAAAACCCTTCTCTTTTCCTCCTCCGTACCCAATCTCTCAAAACGGGGGGTACAACGAGCGGATACAGATTTGCTGCCGATATGACGTAATTTCGGATGGTGGACCCACAGAGAGTTGCTATAGAAACAATGCCTGACGTGTTTGGACGTAATCTCGTCTTGTTGTTTACATTAGCAAGCCTCGCTAACACTCAGAGCTAACCTGTACTGGAGAGCAATGTGTTTTTAAAAAGCAGGAATAAAAAAAGGAACTGACCTTGTGATAAACCCGCAAGAAGAAAAGCATTTGAGCTCCATACTGTTTCAGAATAATCTTTGATGTGTTTTAGAACAGGATGGCGTTTTATCACAGCAGAATTTAACTTTATCTCCGTAGAATTCTGATCAGGCATTTGCTTTTTTTTCAAGCTAAGGACCCAAAATCCGCGTTTCTCTAACAGGTCTGCAAAAGAGAGATACGAGGGGTGTCTAAAATGCATGATCTGTTTGTATTTTGAGAAAAACACATCATAGACATGTTGTTTATATGTTTTTATATATCTGAGATAATGTATGCCTAAAATAGCCATGATAGTGCACTTTAAATAATTAACTAACAATTGAAAAAATAGGCTAAGCAACTAGTTGCTTTCTCCAGTTTCCAGTCGATTTGTGCATGTCTACATCTAACTGCAATAATAGTTTTACTGAACTCATGAGGAGTGTTCCTGAAGCCATCACATCCTGTTTGCTCAGTGCTGCTGAAATCAACAGGCTTCTCCTTCAGTTAAAAACTGCAGTAGCAATCGTTTTAGTGTTTTACCCAAACAAAGAGAATACAATACGTATGTTTTGTTTTATTCCTCTGTCACTCTGAGGTTGTCATATCGGGTTTTATTGTCAAACATCCATATTCAAAGATAGCCAGTGAGACGAGGCATCCTGAAAGTATATCTCGGTCCACCTCGATGATCCAATATCTTGGATCATCTTGGATGTTTCATTACAGTCCGTTAATATTTGCTCTGCTCATCATGTATATGCATTTTTCATGTTTACCAGGCCTACATCCCCTACCGAGACAGTAAGATGACCCGTATCTGCAGGACTCGCTGGGGGGTAACTGTCGAACCACCATCGTCATCTGCTGCTCGCCTTCCTCCTATAACGAGAGCGAAAGCAAATCCACCCTCATGTTCGGACAAAGGTTGGTAGGCCTGTGGAACAAAAAAACACAGTGCTCGGTCATTTCTTCAGTGTGAAATATATCAATCCATTTAAATTGAGATACAGAGTTTTCTATTGAAGGTGTAGAAAAGTTATAGAAAGCCATTTAAGGAGAAGTAATTGTCATTATACAGCAAAGGGTTGCACAACCAAATGCAGCTGTAGCTTAGTCCATCATACATACAAACATGTTCCTAAAGTTCATGTTTTCACAGTGGGTCCAGTGATATTGCATTTCAATATCTCATTTTGAAGGTGCATTAAATGTCCTTATTCGAGTGTCTTTTAGTGAAATAAACCTATTTTCTTTCTACATCCAGAGCAAAGACCATCAAGAACACTGTCACTGTAAACGTGGAGCTGACAGCCGAGCAGTGGAAGCAGAAATATGAGAGGGAGAAGGTGAAGAACACGACTCTGAGGAGCACCGTCACCTGGCTGGAGAACGAGCTCAACCGCTGGAGGAATGGTGAGGAAGTTCCCTCCGTCTTTCGGCATGGTTTCATCCAGGCCTCTCCACAGATTCCTCAGAAACAATGCTGTACAACTTCTCACGTTCGATCTAGATCCTTTTGCCATTGTTGTTCTGTGGGTTGCAGATGTTGTTGGTCCAGTTCAGGTTGATAAAGGATTTGTTCCTAGCCTTCTACTCTAAGAAACAAATCAGTACACTTCTTTGTAAGACCTAAATGTTATTGTGTGGCCACATCATTTAAAGGGCTGCTTTTGGTCTACAGTGCATAAAGGACAACTTACACTATGTGCCGATTTGATAGTAAAAATTAAGCTTTTAACGCAATGATATTTAACCATACTTGTTCTCATCATTTCAGGTGAAAGTGTGCCAGTGGATGAGCAGTTTGACAAGGAGAAGGCCAACGCCGAGGTGAAGGCTCTGGACAACATAATCACAGAGAAGGAGGTGTCCACGCCCAACGTGCCGGGTGTCCGCCTCACCGACGTGGATAAGGGCAAGTGTGGGGGCTGAGGTGGCCAAGCTCTACAAACAGCTGACGATAAGGTGAGTGGACAGCATGTTGGTACCGGAGGTGAATGAATGTGGGTTTGTAGACGTAGAACATAATGTTTACATACAATATGCTAATGTCTTTGTGTCTGTGCTCGCTACAGGACGAGGAGATCAACCAGCAGAGCCAGCTGGCGGAGAAGTTGAAGCAGCAGATGCTGGACCAGGATGAGGTGAGTTCTGCAGCTCAGCAGGTGCAGAGGGAACTCCTGATCTTTAAAGTTTGAATTGAAACAAGGAACTTTCACAGCTGTAGAGTTATATTTATATTTTTCTCCAGTCCTGTTGTTTTAAGTAGGGCTAAAACCTGTTTTCTTTATTTTAAAGAAAGTAGTAAAACCATTTGTAAAGATCTTTTAGGCCAGTCTTTATTATAGAGATTTTATTATAGAGTGTATGACCGGACAACCACAGTCCGGATTCAAACCTGCATTCGCTGTAGTGCGGACTTTTAGTTGCAGACTTAATAGCCGCTTTCACACCATGTACTTTGCCGCACTTAGTTCCCAGCACTTAGTTCTAAAGAGCCGATCACGTTCACACTGAGTTCCCTGGGGGAAGATTAGTCAAATGAAGCCGCTGACGTCACTTCTTCTTCTTCTGCTTTGGGTTTACTGGCAGGCCGCAAACAACTTCACGGCGTATACTGCCACCCGGAGTCCCCGGCCGGAAGTCCCCGGAGTTGGGGACTGGCTTCAGTAGAAGCTGCTGGGACTCCCAGCAGCTTCTACTGAAGCCTTCAGAGTAAATCGCCAGAACGACCGACACCTCCTCATCTCCCACCGCTCCATGTTTTCTTTTGTGTTGCCATAAGTTAGTCTCTCTCCGTTGGTGCGCGGGATAATGCTAATGCTAATAATGCTAATGCCAGCAAATACAATGGCGGCTTCACAAAAACTTTTGCGAGTTTTACGGGCCGTGTTTGAAATTCACCCAGCCAATCAGAAATTGGAACTTTTTTTCTCCCCAGGAAAGTACCACCTCTCTGGCAGGCACTAAAAAGGGGGGGAAAGTTCTCATGAACTAAGTTCTCTTTTTGGTGTGAACGCAAAATTCCAGGAACTATCGGAACTAAACGGGAAAAGTACTCCGGTGTGAAAATGCCTAATGTGTTGCTTACATCATCATTTCACTACTACAATACAGAACTGTAATAAAATCCTTGTCATTTTGAAAAAACATCTGAAAGAATCTAAATAAAAATGCAAACAAAGCCCAGCAAAGACTAAATCTTGAGGATTTAATAACTTGTCAAAATAAAAATGCTAACTCATAAATAATGTAACAAACACAGAATAATTCCAGCAGACCTAATGCATTTGAAAACAAGAAACAAAACTCCACTTCTCTCTCCTGTTTGCAGCTTCTAGGCTCCTCCCGCCGAGATCACGAGAACCTCCAGGCGGAGCTGAACCGTCTGCAGGCGGAGAACGAGGCGTCGAAGGACGAGGTGAAGGAGGTGCTGCAGGCGCTGGAGGAGCTGGCCGTCAACTACGACCAGAAGAGTCAGGAGGTGGAGGACAGGACCAAGGAGTTTGAGGCCATCAGCGAGGAGCTCAGCCAGAAATCGGTGAGCTGGGGACAGATATCAACATGCCTAAAGTCACGGACTCCTTTGCTATGTTAATATTCAACACTTGACGCATGACGCAGTATCATCATGAGCCTTGGATTCATTATGGTATGTTTATTTAGGAGGGAAATTAATTTACATCTCAAATAAGGCTACAAGTTAGGATTGACCGAGGACAGGGAAAAACTGCACTGCTCTCTGCTCACACAATGTTTTCTTTTTGTATTGCTCTTTTCTTCCCCATTGAAAACATCAGAACATACTGAGTAGGGATGGGTATCGTTAAGGTTTTAACGGTACTACTACTTTTATCGACCCGGTCCTTTAACGGTACTCTTATCGGTTCTTTTGGAGAAAAAAAAAAAGTAAACTAACTAAACAAATTGTGAACAAAATGAACATTGCTTTTTATTTAAATTAAATACATAATATTTCACATCAAAAGAAACAACAATGTTTTAACAAATCGTATTAAATAATCTGAACTGTAAACAGAATAGCTGAAACTTTAACAAAATAAATAACTCAGTTACCTCTAATCATTAACCCGTGTTTGTATCATTGAGTTAACTCCGTGTGTTGCTGCGAGCATACATAACACCTGACCCTAAACCCAAATTGCTCGTGTTACCGCATTGTCCACATTGAGACGGGTGAAGTTTAACCAAAGTGTGTGTGTGTGTGTGTGGTGTGTGTGTGTGTGGTGTGTGTGTGTGTGTGTGTGTGTGTGTGTGTGTGTGTGTGTGTTGTGTGTGTGTGTGTGTGTGTGTGGTGTGTGTGTGTGTGTGTGTTGTGTGTGTGTGTGTGTGTGTGTGTGTGTGTGTGTGTGTGTGTGTGTGGTGTGTGTGTGTGTGTGTGTGTGGTGTGTGTGTGTGTGTGTGTTGTGTGTGTGTGTGTGTGTTGTGTGTGTGTGTGTGTGTGTGTGTGTGTGTGTGTGTGTGTGTGTGTGTGTGGTGTGTGTGTGTGTGTGTGTGTTGTGTGTGTGTGTGTGTGTGTGTGTGTGTGTGTGTGTGTGTGTGTGATGTGTGTGTGTGTGTGTGTGGTGTGTGTGTGTGTGTGTGTGTGTGTGTGTGTGTGTGTGTGTGTGTGTGTGTGTGTGTGTGTGTGTGTGTGTGTGTGTCACAGACGGGGGAGAGAGAGAGAGATCTCTCGTCTGGATTGGAAAGATCGAAAATACTAAACATAATCATAGACGCTTTTTGCATATTAGAAACGGAGCTGGCGAAACTAAAACTGCAATATAATGTTTATGTAGCAATAATACATATGACATATATTTTTTACATGTCTCCAGTACCGATAAAAAGACCGATAACGTCGGAGCTTAACGGTACCACGGTCTTTAATAATTCAGCCCCGGGGCCCCTTTAATACCGGGGCTCGGTACCCATCCCTAATACTGAGATAATGAATGAATCCTCCCTCTCTCCCTGCAGTCCGTCCTGTCGTCTCTGGACTCTGAGCTGCAGAAGCTGAAGGAGATGTCCAACCACCAGAAGAAGAGGGTGACTGAGATGATGTCCTCACTGCTCAAAGACCTCGCCGAGATTGGCATCGCCGTGGGCAGCAATGACATCAAGGTACTGAGAAGCCTTGTGCACCTTACCAACAGCTACGGTGCAAACACTAGCTTCTAGTCATATGGAGAAAGAATAAGAAGTTGTTTTATTAGATTAAAAGATAGTTGTTTCGCAGGATGTTGCTGTGATTAGAAATACATTAAGGCTAAGTAATACTTTCTGTTTGTTTTTTAGTAAAAGTAGTAATACCACAGTGTAGAAATACTCTGTTAAAGGGGACCCTGTCATGCAAAATGCACTTTTTGACGTCTTTTATACATAAAGATGTGTCCCCGGTGTGTCAGGGAACTCAAGCAGCGTCAGAAAATAAAACCCTCTCTATTTTCCTCCGTGCGCAAATCTCTGAAAACTGGGCTACAACGGAGCTGATCCAAATTTGCATCCGATATGACGTTATTTACGTCATATCGGATGGCACCCACGGCCCTATCAGAAACAATGCCCGACGTAATATGGTCTTTGTTTACATTAGCATGGCTAACACTCAGAGCTAACCTGTACTGGAGAGCATGTGTGTGAAGAAGCAGGAAATAAAAAGGAACTCACCTTGTGGTATAACCGGCAAGAGAGAAAGCCTTTGAGCTCCATACTGTTTCAGAAATAATCCTTGATAATCCATGATATGGCGTTTCATCACGGCAGAATTTAGTTTAGACAGTAGCTGCCGGGTCCCGCATGAGCTCAGACCCCTCCTTTGTTTTAAGCTTTATACCCCAAATCAGCACTTTTGAACCAGGAAGTGAAATAGAGGTATATGAGGCATGGCTAGAATGGGTGATCGGTTTGGTATTTTGAGGCAAAACACTTCATAGACATGTTTTTATATATTTTTATATATCTTAGACCTATGCTATTGCCTAAAAATAGCATGATAGGTGACCTTTAAAAGTAAAGTCCTGAATAAAAAGTACAAATGTATTAGCATCTAAATACACTTTAAGTTGAAGTACTCATTGTGCAGAAAGACAATTTTTCTGAATGATATGCATTATATCACAGGATTATAATTAGAGATTAGAGATTATGAAGTTGACTACTTTTTTATGACGCCAGGTGTCTTAATTCAAAATGGTACATCAAAATCTATTTGTGTATTCATTGTTTATTAATTGTATGAACATGCAAAGTAACTAAAGTGTTCAGATAACTGTTATCTGTTATAATGTGGAGGTATAAAGTGGCAAAAAAAAGAAATAATCTAGCGAAGTACCTGAATGTTTTTCTTGAGTAAATGCACTTAGTAACTTTCCACCTCTGCTTACCATGTTTCATATTTTGTTCAACCAGTACAGTCCATCTGTTTGTTTTGTTTCTACATCTGCTCCTCCATGCCTCTTTAACTTTCCCCCTCTGCTCTTCCAGCAACACGAGGGCAGCGGCCTGATAGATGAGGAGTTCACTGTGGCCCGTCTCTACATCAGCAAGATGAAGACCGAGGTGAAGACCATGGTGAAGCGCTGCAAGCAGCTGGAGGGAACCCAGTCGGAGAGCAACAAGAAGATGGACGAGAACGAGAACGAGCTGGCCGCCTGCCAGCTGCGCATCTCCCAGGTACGGAGAAACCAACCAGTAACGATGTCGTGAACTGAGAGCATACACCTTATGTCCATTTGTGTATAAAGTGGTGGAGGGATGAGTCTGGGGGTAGTGGTGGTCTAATGGATAGTGAGGTGGGCTGAAGATCGGAAGGTTGTGAGTTCAAATCCCGCCTGGAACACCACCACTAGTGTGCTCATGAGTAAGGCACTTAGTCCTTAGTTACTCCAGGGAGAATGTCCCTGTAATCGCTAATTGTAAATTGCTTTGGATAAAAGCGTCAGCTAAATGTAATGTAATGTAATGTCTTAAATGCAGTCATTAGTTAGCGTTTTAGCACGTCTGAGCTCCCTCGTCTTGTAGTCAATGTTTTTTTTAATTAGTTTAAGATTCTCTAAATGATTCTCTAAATAAGGTCTGGTTAATACAAGCTCACAATATTTTCACATTTTATTCTTCAACATAAAATACCTCAGTAAATACGGCACTTATGAATGTCCGAAGCTTCTATGTGTCAGCATTAAAAACAGCATGTGCTAACAAATGGCTAAATGAGATTACTTAACATCACATTAGCGAGCTTAGCGGTGATTTACATGATGTTACATGCGGGTTACAAAGTTGGCCCACAAAAAGATGTCATCCCTGGACCTCTCTCTCAATGGCAAAGGATAAATTGACATTCGAACCCTCATAAATATTGTGCATATATAAACCTCTGTGTTCTTGCTCTGTCTCCAGCATGAGGCTAAGATCAAGTCCCTGACTGAGTACCTGCAGAACGTGGAGCAGAAGAAGCGGCAGCTGGAGGAGAACGTGGACTCTCTCAACGAGGAACTTGTCAAGAGCAGCGCTCAGGGTAAGGACATGGGAAGAGATGAAGCACCGGCACTCGATAAAAGACTTTTACCTTTGCATTAAAAGTGAAGTAGTCTCAGGAACTCTTCAACCTTAACAAACCTTTTTGATTTGAAAAGGTACTCGTGTGGGTTTTAAGACATGATTCTGAATATAAATGGCTTCAAACATGCTTTTTGTTCCAGTTGTTGATTTCTGGTAATGAAAGATTTAGCTAGGGGAATTTATTCAAATCTAAATCAGCTGCTTTGAGCGTGTTGGGGTTTCTGAAGTGACAAGCCCTAACTTATTTCACTATTGTTAGAGTTTAGTGAATGCTAACATCGCTGTGTGCTTATCATCTGATTATGTTTCCTGTGTTTGTTTTACAGAGAAAGTTCATGCTATGGAGAAAGAGAATGAGATCCAGACTGCCAATGAAGTCAAGGTACGTTCCTCAGCCACGTTAAACAGTGGACACCACAAGATTAAACAAATGGAAATCTAAATACCACCAAAGACATTGTTCAAAGAATCCCAACATGCTAAAATGAATCTATTTAACATGATATTGTTGTGTTTTGATGGTGTTTCTGCAAGCTGTTCTGTCACGTTAATGCAAATGTTGTGTTCAGGAAGCGGTGGATAAGCAGATCCACTCCCACCGTGACGCTCATCAGAAGCAGATCAGCAGCCTGAGAGATGAGCTGGACCACAAGGAGAAACTCATCACCGAGCTGCAGGAGTAAGACTCGCATCCCGGGGATACATGTTCAAATAAACACTATTACTTAAAGGTTTTAGTCATGGTAGTTTGATATTTGAGGTAGCAAACAGTTTGAGCCAAGTAAAACATCACTTTTCATCTTGTTGAAAGTGCAGCAGTTAATGAAATCTAACTGTTTACACCAAGATAAAGTAAATGTGTTAACTGAAGCTTGTTTTGTTTTCAGTCTGAACCAGAAGATCATGCTGGAGCAGGAGAGGCTCAGAGTGGACCACGAGAAACTCAAATCCACCGACCAGGAGAAGAGCCGCAAGCTGCACGAGCTCACGTGCGTCTCACACACTTCGATGACCTGAGGCAATAAATGTGCAGCCGTAAATGTATTTCTTTGGATGATAAATGTTGTGTTTTGTGTTGTTCAGGGTGATGCAGGACAGACGGGAGCAGGCCAGGCAGGACCTGAAGGGTCTGGAGGAGACAGTGGTGAGTGATTCCAACAGATAGGATGGTTTAGATGCACTTATTGTGACTCCTGACATATTGGATAGTTGGGTTTTGTCTAGGGATGCTCCGATCGCCAATTTTGGGGCCAATCCGATCGAGTGGGCGGGGCCTATGGGGATCTTCCATTTAAAGTGATCTTTACAACTCAGTTAATGGGGCTCATTCACTGGCGCTTCCACAAACAACAACCAACATAATTATTACATTAAAATGAAGTACATTATTCAAGTTTACATTAACTTTGGATAATACCACGGGAGAAACGAGCGGTGCTCTCTCTCCCCCTCTCTCTCTCTCTCTCCCCCTCTCTCCCTCTCCTGACAGCCCGTCAGTATCGTCTCATGCAGCTCGCTGATCCAGTAATGTGTGAGGCCGACAGTGAAGAATAAACATATTTATAACTAGTTTAGCTTGTTCCAGAGGTAGATACAATAGCTAAGTGTGTTAGGTCTAACTCTTAGTGTGTGTTCTGCTCCACTCACCGGTCCGTCACAGCGGGTGGAGCTGCAGGATTTCTGCTTCACACACACGTTGCATACCGCTATTTTATTGTCATTTTCTGACACCTTAAAATACTGCCAGACCGGTGAAGCCATGTTGGAGAGCTTGTTTTGCCGCGCACAGAGAAAAGTGTCATGTATTTTACGTCAAAATGTTACGTCATGCGATCGGCATTTTTAGAGAGCACCGATCGATCGGCAGAGAGTGAGTAACGGCCGATATCGATCGGAGCATCCCTAGTTTTGTCCCTTTGCGAGTACGATAGATTGCATTATTGAGTTCTTGTCTGAGCCCATACGGACACATTGCTTTAAGTTGTCGATACTAAAGGGAGAAACAACAGTCTTAAATACAGATTATTTGTCTTAGTTTGGCAGCTTGTATTTACAGTTTAATGAATGTGATGATGATGAACTAAAGATTGGTTCAGTCGGTTGTATTTATATATTCAGATTTTAATTGCTCGTCTTTTTTACTTTTCAGGCCAAAGAACTGCAGACTCTGCACAATTTGAGGAAGCTCTTTGTCCAGGACCTGGCTACCCGGGTGAAAAAGGTGAACTACTGTGAACATATATCTATTTTCTGGGTGACTTGCTTAGCTAAACAAACATGTACACACATGTTAACAAAATAACAATAGTTTTGAAACATTCAGCAACATTTGAATCAGTGTTTTCAAAGCTGATTCTATCTTTTATTCCATTGTGATTGTTGTTAAATGTACGTTCTGTCGTGTATGGATTACTGATGTTATGATCCCCCTTATTTAACGCTTGTTATTTAAGTAGTAATGCTTGTGTTCTGCGCCGTGCAGAGCGCTGAGATGGACTCCGACGACACAGGTGGGAGTGCAGCACAGAAACAGAAAATCTCCTTTCTTGAGAATAACCTTGAGCAGCTCACCAAAGTTCACAAACAGGTACGACTTTAATGAACCAGCCACTCCATGAAGTATTACTCCTGCCATTCTTCTTCTTGCTCTACATTCATCTTGTTCATTTGTATTTTCTACGATCTTCTCCTGCTGTTGCTCAATCTTGCTCTAAACCAGAGGTGTCCAAACTACGGATTTGGCCCGCGGACCATTTTGAATCGGCCCTCAGCTAATTCAAATAGTATAATAGAATACGGCCCACAGATGAAACTTGTGCTTGTCATATATTGTACTTCTTAAATATAAATGTGAATATATTACACAGTAGTACTCATGTGTTAATCAGACCACTTTTCAAGTGAATTCAGTCGATTAAAGTTGGAAACATTTTCTATCTTTCTATCTTAGTTGATAAGAAAAAAGCCCAAATACTTATTTACATATCACTCTTGAAATACACCTTTCATATTTCCCCTTATTATAAGCTCATGTTAAGCTTCTGTTTTGAGGGATGAGCTGCCAACACAATAAATGAAACCCTCTGGAGAGCTGGGATGTTTTTTTCTTAAGGCATTTTCAAGTGTCAAGCGTAATTTACCTACGTTTGATTTAGCTCATTTATAACTCAACCCATAAGAACCCGGACTCAGAAGGGTAACATCATTTAGACTAAATAGACCACCTAGAACACATTTCTGACAAGAAACCCCCCCTAGTGTCAAACATCTGAAATGTGACATATCTGTCACATTGGGCTTTAATGGTAAAATAACTCTTATAACTTAATTAATGAGGATGATTTTTTGAACATTCTTTGAATTGAAGAATAAAGAACATATTAACTCAATATAATTGAATCAGCTAAATTAACT